CACACAACACACACACACACACACAACACACACACACACACACACACACAACACACACACACACACACATTTATATATATTATATATATAATATATATATATATATATATATATATATATATATATATATATATATATATATATATAATATATATATATATACATATATATATATATATAAGGGATATGACACTCACGTACTCAGCTACTTCAGTTTCTAGAGTTATTAGCACAACTGCAAGCTTACATGGCTATATCGGAAATGGAAGTATAGGTAGTGATAGGATAATAAATGCAGATTTTCTGCTCGTTTTGCATTTCGCTCTAGTTAGATGTTCTATAACAGAACACTCACAGATGTTTATAACAGAACACTCACAGATGTTTATAACAGAACACTCACAGATGTTTATAACAGAACACTCTCAGATGTTTATAACAGAACACTCTCAGATTGTTTATAACAGAACACTCTCAGATGTTATAACAGAAACACTCTCAGATGTTTTATAACAGAACACTCTCAGATGTTTATAACAGAACACTCACAGATGTTTATAACAGAACACTCACAGATGTTTATAACAGAACACTCACAGATGTTTATAACAGAACACTCTCAGATGTTTATAACAGAACACTCAGATGTTTATAACAGAACACTCCAGATGTTTATATAACAGAACACTCCTCGATGTTTATAACAGAAAACACTCTCAGATGTTTTATAACAGAACACTCTCAGATGTTTATAACAGAACACTCTCAGATGTTTATAACAGAACACTCTCAGATGTTTATAACAGAACACTCTCAGATGTTTATAACAGAACACTCTCAGATGTTTATAACAGAACACTCTCAGATGTTTATAACAGAACACTCACAGATGTTTATAACAGAACACTCACAGATGTTTATAACAGAACACTCTCAGATGTTTATAACAGAACACTCTCAGATGTTTATAACAGAACACTCAGATGTTTATAACAGAACACTCTCAGATGTTTATAACAGAACACTCTCAGATGTTTATAACAGAACACTCTCAGATGTTTATAACAGAACACCTCAGATGTTTATAACAGAACACTCTCAGATTGTTTATAACAGAACACTCTCAGATGTTTATAACAGAACACTCACAGATGTTTATAACAGAACACTCACAGATGTTTATAACAGAACACTCTCAGATGTTTATAACAGAACACTCAGATGTTTATAACAGAACACTCTCAGATGTTTATAACAGAACACTCACAGATGTTTATAACAGAACACTCTCAGATGTTTATAACAGAACACTCTCAGATGCTTTATAACAGAACACTCACAGATGTTTATAACAGAACACTCTCAGATGTTTATAACAGAACACTCTCAGATCTTTATAACAGAACACTCACAGATGTTTATAACAGAACACTCTCAGATGTTTATAACAGAACACTCACAGATGTTTATAACAGAACACTCTCAGATGTTTATAACAGAACACTCACAGATGTTATAACAGAACACTCTCAGATGTTTATAAACAGAATCACTCTCAGATGTTTATAACAGAACACTCTCAGATGTTTATAACAGAAACACTCCAGATGTTTATAACAGAACACTCTCAGATGTTTATAACAGAACACTCTCAAATATTTATAACAGAACACTCTCAGATGTTTATAACAGAACACTCTCAGATGTTTATAACAGAACACTCTCAGATGTTTATAACAGAACACTCACAGATGTTTATAACAGAACACTCTCAGATGTTTATAACAGAACACTCTCAGATGTTTATAACAGAACACTCTCAGATGTTTATAACAGAACACTCACAGATGTTTATAACAGAACACTCTCAGATGTTTATAACAGAACACTCTCAGATGTTTATAACAGAACACTCTCAGATGTTTATAACAGAAACACTCTCAGATGTTTATAACAGAAATCACTCTCAGATGTTTATAAACAGAACACTCTCAGATGTTTATAACAGAACACTCTCAGATGTTTATAAACAGAACACTCTCAGATGTTTATAACAGAACACTCACAGATGTTTATAACAGAACACTCACAGATGTTTATAACAGAACACTCTCAGATGTTTATAACAGAACACTCAGATGTTTATAACAGAACACTCTCAGATGTTTATAACAGAACACTCACAGATGTTTATAACAGAACACTCTCAGATGTTTATAACAGAACACTCTCAGATGTTTATAACAGAACACTCTCAGATCTTTATAACAGAACACTCACAGATGTTTATAACAGAACACTCACAGATGTTTATAACAGAACACTCACAGATGTTTATAACAGAACACTCTCAGATGTTTATAACAGAACACTCTCAGATGTTTATAACAGAACACTCTCAGATGTTTATAACAGACTCACAGATAACCTCACAATACCTTATCTGAAACAAATAGCATATATGTAATTCTGCATTTGATAAGTGCATAGGGGGTAATGTTATATTAAAAATGCTATTTATATAATAAAAGTTTGTTATCGTGAATCTTAAATTCCAGCTGACCTTTCAGATATGTAATCTAGACGGAACTGATATAATAAATGGGAAGAAAACACACACACACACACACACACACACACACACACACACACACACACACACACACACACACACCCCACACACACAAACACATGCACACAAACACACACACCACACACACAACACATGCACAACACACACACACAACACACACACACAACCCCAACAACACACAGACACACACACACACACACACACACACACACACACACACACACACCACACACACACACACACACACACACACACACACACACACACACACACACACACAACACACACACACAACACACACACACAACACACACACAACACACACACAACACATACACACAACACATACACAACACACACACAACACACACACACACAACCCCCCCACACACACACAACACCCCCCCCACACACACAATACACACACACAACACACACACAACACACACATACACTCCTTCCCTCCCCACCGACATCTCACTCCTTCCCTGATCCCTCCCCTCCCTCTTTACCCTCCCCTCCCCACCTCTCCCACCTTCCCCCTCTCCCCCTCCCACTCACCCACTTGCTTCTCCCTCCTTCCCACTCCCCCTCCCCACCCCTCTCCCACATAGCCACAGTTCCTCCTCTACCTCCCCCCCTCCCACACTCTGACATACACACTACTAACCTAACACACAGAATTACATAGGTTTCCCACTCTGAGGCAATCAGGATAAAACAAAAATGGGTTGCCAGAGAGCAACAAGAAAAACCAAGGGACAGGAGGAGGAAGCCGTAAAGGAAGATTGGGCAGCAGAGCTCATAAAAAGGGAACATGAATGGGAAGGGAAACTAGAAGAACTTAGCATGAGAATGGAAGAGAGGATAGTAATGGAAAGCAGGAAGTGGGAGGTGCAAGTCAAAGCAGCAGAGGCCAGGATACAGAGTTTAGAAGAGGAACTGAAAAATCTAAAACAGCCTAAAGAACTAAAGAACATTTTGGGATTGACAACAGAGACTGCTACCTCAGTCACAAATAAGGGGACTGTAGGGAAAGAAGGAGCAAAACTGCATGTAGAAGCTCTATCAGTGGAGAGACTAGTAAATGAAAGAGCTAAGCTATATGTGGAGGCCCTAACAGACCACAGCAGAGCCCAGGGAAAGCCGAGAAGCGAAAATGACAGGCCACTGAGCTCAAGTACATTAGCTAGTGAAACTGAAGAAAGGAAAGCTGCAATGGAGGAAATCAAATTGAATGAGGGGATACACAGGGATATGCAGTGGGAGAATGAAAGGGTGAGGTCAGTCTTTGTGTATGGGCTCCAGGAAGTTGAAGGGGAAACATATGAAGCAAGAAAACAAGGGGAAAAAAAAGCAATTGAAAGCATCATGAAAGTAATAGGAGAAGACGACATGACCCAGCTGGAAAATTTTCGGAGAATAGGGGGGTTTGAAAAAAAAAGAACCCAGCCAGTGAAAGTGACCTTCAAGGCAGAATCGACTCAGAACAGGATCCTGCAGGAGAAAGCATGATTAAGGGACATGCCGGCATACAGGAAGGTGTATCTCGACCGCAACAGAACACAAGAAAGGCAGAAACTGAGAGAGATGGTACAAAGGCGAAAGGAGGAAAGACAGGGGATGGAGAAGACAGACAGGAGATCCCAGACACAGGAAGAAGATCAAATACAACCTCCTTCACAGCTTCCTATAGAAGCCTCCCAACCAGGTCAACCCCAGTGCAGGCAAACACTCTAAACCAAAACACCCATGCCACATCCAATGCCCCCACCCACTACATTACAAACTCCACTCCCACAGCAACCACCCATAGTTCCTTATCAGGTCTCTCACTTCCCCAACCCCAATACACCTCCCAGACCACAGTCTTAGAAAAGAAGTTGAAGGTGTGGTATACAAATGCAGATGGAATAACAAATAAGTATGAGGAGTGGCATGAAAGAATCAAGGAGACATCCCCAGACATAATAGCACTCACAGAAACAAAACTCACAAGAATAATAACAGATCCAATCTTTCCATCCGGATATCAAATCCTCAGGAAAGACAGAGGGAGGAGAGGGGGAGGAGGAGTTGCAGTGCTCATTAAAAACCAGTGGGGTTTTGAGAAAATGGAAGGAATGGATGGCACGGGCGAAAGGGACTACTTAGTAGGAACAATCCAGTCTGAGGGACATAAGGTGATAATTGCAGTAATGTACAACCCACCACAGAACTGCAGGAGGCCAAGAGAAGAATACGATGAGAGCAACAGAGCAATGGTCGACACACTAGCCGAGGTGGCCAGGAGAGCACACATGGGGGGAGCAAAGTTACTAGTTATGGGTGATTTCAATCACAAGGAGATTGACTGGGAAAACCTGGAGCCCCATGGGGGTCCCGAAACATGGAAAGCCAAGATGAT